TTGCTTAAATTCAACGTTGATTCTGATTCCGCAGAACTGGGTTGGGTGTGAAAAAGTATTTGTTGTTAACATTCTTTTTTCATTCGGTTTTTCCAGTTACAGTCCTTTTTAAAGCTGATCGTTTTGTGTTCATTTTGTTTAGTTCTTTTTCGTAACAGATTTAATGTTTAGTATAGAGCTTAGAAAAAATTCTCAGTGTGAGATAGGCAAGAAGTAAGGCATGTAGCAAAAGCGTAATTTAGGTGTGGTACAAGACCGAATGTATGCAGCGCCCAGTGGGGATCGAACTCACTCGTAATTGATCAAGCTTGCTAACCCTTACACCACGTCGAAGTGACATTTCCCGATCTCCAACTTTCTCATGACCCCTCCCCGTTTATTTAATACTGAGAAAAATTCCGCCGTCCATAATTAACAACCTACCTCCCTGTTATAGGCATCTATACTTAAAGCCACTTTAATGAGATTTCTCGAATATTCAGGCCAGTAGACGAAAATAAATATGTTGTCTAATAAATAAATGGAACGTCTACTCAAATATGAGTATCCACTAAACCTAACGTTCAAAGTCATAAAAATCTGTTGGATTAATAAATAAAAGATCCTGTACTTTAGAAATTTCTTTGTTTACGTCGAGATATGAACCTGAGAAGATGTGAAAATTACAAGAGTCTATAACGGAACGGTTTTTGCTTAAAGGCAATATTCAGCCTTGCTTGATCGGCAAAGGTTCTTTGTAGCTGAGTCGGTTAAAGTACGTTGGATCTAACGATGACTCCATCTAGCCACGGACACACGGGTTCAAATCCTACCAGAGCGCATATTTTTAATATGAATTCTCAAATTTTCAGGCCTGTTGACGAAAATCAATAAATAAAGTGTTTAATAAATAATTGGAGCGTCTGCTCAAATATGAGTATCCTCTTAAGATAGCGTTTAAAGTGATAAAAATAATCTCTCAGAAACAGAGCAGACGTGAAAACTTCGAGGAATTCAGTACGAGAAAGATTTTGCTTAAAGGCACGTGTCACTTTGGATGGTCGAAAAGGCTGTTCCGTGGCCGAGACGGTTAAGGCCCGTCGGGTCCACACACGGTTTTCTCCCCGCTCACTAGGGCCGCAGTTTCGAATAGCGCATAATTTTCTTTGATAAAATTTAAATGAAAATCAATAAATATACTGTTTAATAAATAAATGGAGCTTCAACTCAAATATGAGTATCTGCTAAAAAGAACGTTTAAAGCAATAAAAAAAATAACAGATTGATAAATAAATCCGTTACCTTAGGAAAAAATGTGTGGCGTGTCACGAGAGTGGGTGTTAAAATGTTTTCGAACCGCCCGACTAAGAACGGATTATTTTTTTTTTCAAGTTTGGTCATTTGGTGATATATTGAGAAGTAGGTCAAGTCTAAGACTTTTCAGCATTCAGTCGTTTAGTTGCGAAAATAATTGCTAAAAAAAATTACGTAACCCCCCCAAAAAACTCATTGAACGCGTTGGTATTTGTGAATTAGATTGCACACTGGAAAGAATCGAGATTTTTCTCGTTCTGTCAAGATAAAAAAAAATGCTTGCTTTAAATACGGCAATAAAGTCTTTTAGTTGGTAAATCGAGTACTTCAGGAACGACTTGATGCGAAGCAATAAAGCAGTCTTTGTTTCCTTGAGACTGACTTCAATTATGCAAATCTCTAGCGGCGCCATTTTTTTTTCTAAAGAAGAAAGAAAGAAAATTGATCAACCAGACTGTTTCAAAATAATTTTCTTTCCATGACTTTTCTCTCTGCTATGATATAAATATGCCAGTGGTTAAGTCAAACGTCATTCACTTGGTTACCCCTCTCATGTGTCTATACGAATTAGGCTGTGAAACCTAATTTTAACGGTAACTTTCCATGAAATAATTGTTATTAGGTTGGTGCAAAATAATGATGTAATAATGTCGTTTTTTGATGTATTTTTTTACGTCAAAAAACGACATTATTACGTCATTATTTTTGCACCAACCTAATATTTCGTTGATAAGGAGGTGTCGGTAGTTTAAGTGTTAACTGGACCGGAAGTGGGATCGACGACCTGGGTCTGCTGCATTTACTTTCGCGCTTAAAATAAAAAACATGAATCCTTCTCTTCTTTCAATAATGTTTACGATTTCGGAAGGATACCTAGACTGGCAGAAAGCCGCCTGCATGCGGATAGAAAATGAATTCAGTAAATATAAAATGATAAAAAGGGATGTAAGTCAAGGAGATGTTTTCTCACAATATTTATTCAACCTTTATAGTAAAGTAATTAATAGAAGAATTAAAAGTCACACCAGGATTCATTATTGCCTGATACAATCGTAACGTTAAATATCCAGTTAAGACAGTGTTGATAGCAAACAAAGAAAAGAAACAAGAACTCCTCTAATTTCTCGAGTACATAGTGTTTAAAATAAAAATGGGGCCTCTATTACGAATACGAGTATCCACTAAAATTAACGATTTTAAGTAATAA